TGCTCCGTGTCATTCCTGCCCCTACACTCCCTCTGCTCCAATTTCTGCCTTTCCTTACTTCCCTACTCTACCGGTCTGGTTCCTACACAGCAGTGTGGTAATCACAGCAGTGTGGTAATCCTTTCAAAGCCTGGGCTACAACATGTCACTCTTCAGTTCAAACCCCTGACATGATATCTTCTTTCTGAACAAAATTCAAAATCCTTACAATGAACTACGAATTTTGGCACTCATTTCTTTCCTCTTTGATCTCGAGTCTTACAACCCACAGAGAGCTGCGCAGGGCCTGTAGTGGCAGGAGGGCACCAGGCCAGGATCTTTCAGGCTTTTATTGTCATTTTAACAGGTACACGGCAGGCAGAGGTACTGAGGGGCCAGGAGGCTGGCAAGGGCTTCTAGCCCCTGGTGAATCTTCACTCTTCCTGGGCTCCTTGGCGTTCTTGTGGCCGCTGCTTCTCTGCTGGTTCTGTTCTGCTGCTGTTCTATTCCTCTTTCTCCCTTATTCTTCTGGTTTTCTTCTTCTGGTGTCCCAGTGATGCCACCCTTACAAGCCAGTCTCAGCCCAGGTGAATGCCACCTACACATGCCTATACCCTACTCCAGGGGCCCGCCATCAGGCATGCATTCAGGATCCATTATCAATCCTAATGGCGGAAGGGCAGAAAAGCCTGACAATCATTTACCCTAGACGGCCCCACCCCAGATCCAATGAGAATTCCTCAGGCCCCATTGCTTCTGACGAACAATCCTTTGTCCCCTCCTGACCTTTTTTTTTTTTTTTTTTAAAGATTTTATTTATACATACAAGAACTGGGCAAGAGTTGTGGGGAACAGAACAGGCAGATCCACTGAAATACACTGCTGAGGGGAAGCAGTGGGCTTCCTAGGTTGTGTCTTAACCCCTTATACCACCAGGGAGGCCCTGTCCCCTCCTGACCTTTAGGTCTCTGTTCCTGGCATTTGCCACAGAGTCCTGGACTCTGGTCTCCCCAGTAGGTGTTGATAAATATTTGCTGAATAAATGAAATATGTGTTCATTATTCACAAAGACTCTAGAACTGAAGAGTGACATGTTCTAGAGTGGGGAGCAGAACAGGCGGATATACTGAAATACACTGCTGAAGGGAGTAGCCCACGGGCAAGACAGTCTGCTGTGCCCTGTTGGTCAGCTCCCTGGGGGCGGGGGAGGTGTTGGGAGGATCAAACTCAGGCCACAGTGGCTGGCGATAGCTTGACAGTGCTAAGACTCCCTGTGCTACCATGGATGCCTCACTCATAGCTGTCTTACACTACAAAGTTGTGGTTTAGTTCTTTACAAATTAACTTCTTCCCTTAAAAGAGTAAGATGATCTAATGGTAAACACAATTGGGCCTTGCACAATGCAGAGGTGGTGGTGGGAGTAGTGATTGGGCTGTCGACCGCTACACAGTTGAAAATCCCTGATAATTTTTGACTCCCCCCAAACTATACTATAATTAGGGCATTTTGCTACTCTCCATCCATGGTTGGTCGAATCCCTGAATGCAAATCAGAGGATATGGAGGGCTGTTCTGAAACCATTCCAGGCCAGGTGGTTCATTGTCAGTTCAGGCAGCTTAAAAGAGAAACTTGGCATCATCTCCTCAGGTTTTTTAATAGTAAGCAGAGGAAACAAGCCAGCAGGGAGACAGCAACTTGGGCCCCCAGCAAATCTCCATGTGCTCTTTCCTCGAGTTTCTCTGGTGTCATCTCGTGGTCTCTTCCTCTCGTAGCAGTTCTCCACTGCCCTTATAGCTCAGGTGTGCCCACTAATGCATGTGTTTCCCCCCTCTCCATACTCCAGGTGTCCACCATCAGGCATGTGTACCCCGAGCCCACGTTCCCAAGCGCCTACCGCACTAGCACAAGCAAGGCCACAGGTGATAACTACAGAGGCCAGCGACTTCAAAGTTTCACCCAATCTGCATTTATCCTAGAAGGGCCAACTGTATTTACTGGAAAGAAAAAAATTAGTATATAAGTAAGTGAACCCTTGCAGTTCAAACTCATATTATTCAGGAACCTGCTGTGGTAAGTCAAGTTGCTAAAGTCCCAAAGACCCTTGGAAGGTGTGTCAGATGGTGCTTTACTGTGACCATAAAGGTCACAGGCATTTTTTTTTTCCTGTTTTAGTTGCAAGTTCTCCTTCTAACAGGTGTTAAATAACAAAAATCCGACAGTTAATTTTAAAGATCTAATGGACTCTATAAAATCATTCATGAATTGGGCAGGATCCCATCTAGCAAGTGCAAAGATGCTACAAATCAAAATGGAAGGTTTTTATGAAGGTGTGACAAGGTCATTAGCAAAAGGAAAGGATTACTTCATGCAAAGTCACCTTCCATTACAAATAGCAGGGTGTCTTATCTTGCAGACTGCCTCGCTAATGCTGACTAGGGAACTCCTAATTGATTAACTTTAACTTCCGTTTTAGGGAGAAGCTGAAACCTCTCCCAAACCTTGCAATTAGATTAGGTCTTGGTGGGTGAGGCACAAATGACTGTATTTTGAGCCTGTTTCTTTCTTTAACAGATATAGTCTGGCGGGGATGTTTTCCAGTCATCAGAGCAGCTCATGCATTGACAGCTAAAGAGTGTTTGCTACTCTCCTCAGGTGACATCTATTTCCATGACCCCCTCTCTTTACCTCTAGTTAGGAGTAGGGTCAAGTCCTTTAAGCTCCTCTGTTTTGCTCTATTCCTGGTATCTGCATTAAACACTCATAGTTATGCAAATTACCACCTCTGTCTCTCCTAAATCCCAGGTCTAATGTTCTCGCCCACCTCTGCATACTGAGCCCGGTGTCTGGGACATCTTACAAGTTCAACAAATGCTGGTTGAACAACTGCATGAATAAGATGGGACCTGAGTTACGCTGTGAAAAAAATATGGTCGTCGCGAGGTAGTGGGGGCAAAATAACGGTTCAGCAGAAGCAAAGGGCACTACAAACTCTGCTGCAGGAGGTGGATTTCCAAGTGCGGCCGATTGCCAGGACAGGAAGATGCTGGCACGAAAGCACGACATTTAAGTGCGAGCTTTGATGCTGGGAGTCTGCCTCCGTTGTCCTTTGGCCGCCCTACCCATGGCATGTGAGGGGTGCACCTGCACGCGGCTCGCCAGAATCGGAGGGGCTGTGAAGAAGTGGTGGGAAATGCTGCGAGACCCAGTCTTGCGCTGGCTCATCCACGGCCACCTGCCTCCGGAAAGAGCCTCGCCCCGCGGAGACTTCGCTTCTTTTCAAAACCTTGCTGGGTCCATTCACCCCGAGAGGACGGTGTCCGGGGGCGGGGACCCGGCAGCTCCCGCCTCTCGCTGGGCCCCGGACCCTTCCCGAGGCTGCGGGCCCCCCGCCCACTCCCCCAGGCCCAGGGGCCGCCGGCGCGCACTGGCGGGCGCGTCGGGAGCGCGCGGGCTGGGCGGAGCGCGGGGCGGAGCGGCGAGGGTGCGCGTCCCGGCTCCCGCCCGCGCCCCCAACGCCGGCCCAGCGGGGCTGAACCCCCGCCCGCCTTCCTCCGGGCGGAGCCGCTGACCAGCGCCGCGACCCGAGGCCGGCGCCGCGGAGGACCGGGAAGCATGGGCCGCCTGCCCGGGAGCCTGGCGGCGCTGCTGCTCGGGCTCTTGGCGGAGGTAGGGGCCGCGCCGGGGCGCCTCCCGGACCCGTCCAGGAGCGCGAACAATGCCGGGGGCTGGCGGGGCGCGGTCCCGAGGCGCCCTCGGAAAACTGCCCGGGGCATCCCGAAAGGTCGAGGGGCCGGAGCCGCCGCCTCGCGGCCCTGGGGGTGTCCCGGTGCTGGAAGGTGTGGGCACCCCGGTGACAGGGAGGCGCCGGCCCTTCCCTTCTCATTCCCCCCCCTTTCTGACCCCCCCCCACCCGGGGCTGCGTCTCTCGCTCCGTGCGCGCGTGTGGAGGACTCAGGGGTGACCTACATGCGCTCCGGGGGTTGCGCGCCCCCTTCCCCTTCCCCGCGGAGGGTCGGGCGCCGGGGTGGATGGTCGGGGGGAGGGTCCCCCGGAGCGGCGCAGGCGCAGAGTGCGGGGCTGTGAGGGGCTGGCGGGAGGGTCTCGGGGCGAGCGCTCGCCTTGGAGTGGTGGGAAAATGTCCCCGGGATACCAGGGAAATAGCCGGCGTGAGCGGGAGGAAGCAGCCCTGCTGGGGAGAGTGTAGCGCAGAGGTGGCAGGCGGACTCCGCGGGGAGCCTGAGTGGTGGGTGTGATTTGCCGAAGCCGAGGAGGGCACTTGTTGACGCGACTGAGGGTGGAAGCGCGGGTAGCCTTAGGCTTCTGGGGACCCGGGCTGCCCCTGGCCGGACAGTGGCACCCTCTCGAGAGGGCCACCCCCGCCCCTTTTGCTGGCTGTGAGCTAGTGGGTATCTCAAGTGTAGAGGCTTGTTCAGCTCCCCATTTAGCTTCATCATTTTGAAAGAAAAGTGCATTAAGTTAGTGAAATCAAAGCAAATGGGCACGGCGTACTATACGTCTCTATGTCCCTATTTTAGAGGGTTGTAATACTTTATTATTGGGTGTTAATGCTGGAAATGACTGCTTGGCTTTCTCCATTTATTAAAAAATAACTATTACAAAATGTTGGGAAAGCAAGGTTGATGGAAAAGTTTCTAGTGCCAGGCTCTGCCATCACAGACTTAATATTGTGTTCTTCATACGCCTCTAGTGCTGGTTTGTTTTCCTGCCGTGCCCTCATCCTTGCCATTCTTTCCATTGGTTCAGAATTTGAAAACCTAAAGAATCCCATCCCTTGGGTGGGTGACTGACAGAATGAGGGAAAAGTGAATCTGAGTCTTCGGCTTAAAAACAAGTTATCAGAACCCTCCTTCGGTTCAAAAAAAAAAAAAATTCCCATAATGAAATTCCGTAGCATTCTGTCGATTCATCCTCTTCTTGGTCACTAGTCTATGTGCTGCTGTGCCCTCTTACTTAAGCTGGACTGCTGCAGGGACTCAGTTCTTCCAAAATAGCTGTTCTCTTGCAAATCTTAATAGACAGTTCAAATCATGTCGGAAATGTTGAAACAGTCTTAAAGGCAGAACTGTGACAAAACCTAAATGAATAAACTGATGCTTTCAGAGAGTTGAATATCTTGATTGGTAATTTTTGTTCTCAACAGGATGGTGTGGTGTAGCCCACTTTTACACAGTTGTCCCAATCTCCTATTTTGCCTGTGGTGGAGAGATATCTTTCTGGGGAATTAAGGAGATAGATATCTTTAGAATTCATCACATGGGATTTTATACATAAGATAGATCTGAAATGTTTTCATCTTAAATTGGTTGCTCAGAATTTCATCTAAAATTGGTTACTAGAACACCTTTTGAACTCCTGAGTCACTCACATAGATATGCAGTTATAGTTGCTGAGTATGTGAGAAGCAGGGGGTTCTTTTTAAGTCCTGGGCATTAAAAAAATTGAGGAAGATATTTGATGGTTTTTGACAACCAGCTGCAATGTGGGATGTTGGTCTTGGTTTCTTTGTTTTTCAGCTTGAGCTGGTTTCATTGTAGTTTGTAGTTAGTTGATCATAATCCACCTGTAATTAAGGGGTCCTCTTAGAGGCAATTATTCCTTTCCTGAGGGCCAGCACCTCCTAGCATCCCTGGGATTTTATGCTAGCAAGAAGTCCTTGTAGGGTGGGGATGTAACATAAGGGTTTACCTCTCCCACTCACATCCCTTTATAGATATTTGCTTAACCTGTGTTGACGGAAATAAGAGTCTCAATGATAGTTAGACAAAAAAAAATTATTAGGTAATCATATTGAAAATTCAAATCCGGAAGCAGTACCATAGATTTTACTCTGAGAACTGTTTAAACAATGACAAGTTCGTCATACAGCGCGTCATTGACATAAAAAAAAATGTAAATTCCTGTGTGTGGTGGGGAGGCTTGTGGTTTTTGTCTATAGGCTTAACGCTTTCTATTTCCTGAGTTATCTTGACCTAAAGACATGTTGATATTATCAACTCAAGAGAAAGGGAAATCCTGGGGTTTAATTCATGATTTCTAAAGAATGCACTGTGGAGAAGAAAATGCTGGGTTGGGTACCCATTGCTTAAATCATCTTTATAGGGCTCCTTGTTCTGTAGTAGGGGTTGAAAGGCTGGTTAACTTGCCGGTGGCAGATTTTTGAATAGCTGCTTCACAGAAAAGGAACTGGGCCTCTGATTGCAAGTCTGTTTGGATGGCTTTGCTCTCCTGCCTCTTAGGCCAGAGGTGGGGGTTGTTCCCTGAACAGTTACAGTCTTCACACCCTTAAGACATAAAGAATGCATGTTTTTTTACTTAGCAAACGTTTATAGAATGCTTACCCTGTGTCAGGCATTGTTCTGAACACTTTACAAATATTAACTCATTAATCCTCTTAGCAATGACTTTTATTCCCATTTTTATTTCAACTGGGAAATATTAAAGATCTTGCCCACAGTCTCCCTGCTGTTAGGTGCCAGGGGCTTGAGATTGTAGCAGACAATTTGGCCCTACCTTCCTATGCTGTGCTGCGGCAGAAACAGAAACAGGAAGAGAATTTATACATGCTGTGTCCTGAGGTCAGCGGTCGACTTGGAACTGAAACTGGTAAGGTAGCCAGCTACCTTCCAGGAATTCAGTCACCCTTCCTTAGGGTACCATGTAATTTTAGCATCCAAACTCTGACACTTTGGAGGGTGAAATAGGGTCTTTCTGTAACTACTTGCACAGCAGCATCAACAAATTTGGCCCAGCACACTCTGGGTGCACTAAAACCCAGGCGGGATTTCAAGAAGGAACAGGCTGCTGGCAGCACCATCCCTTCCCTGGGAGACTTTTGGGAGTTTGTTACTGAAGTGACCTTTGGCTCTTTTAACTTCGGAGTGTTCTGTGACTTGCATGTGAACCCTCCTTCCTTACCCCCCTACCAAACCCCACCAGCTGCTAAGGTCCTAGGCCCTGATGTGGCACAGAATAGGGGCATTCCAAAAGCTCTTTGGGCTCAGGTGAGGCCTTGCAAAAAAAACAGTATTTGAAGAAGAGCAAAGGTACAAAACATCTCCTAGCTGCCCTGGAGAAGTGAGTCTCCCTGGGCCATAGAAGTACCTTAGAAACTGAAAGAGAAAGAGATTTCAAACTTGATTGTGCTTTAGTTGAACCTGGGGAGTAATTAAGCCTTGAGCATAGACCTCCCCTGGGCTTTCATCAGTGTGTTGTTTTCTAGATATTGTCACTGCTTTCTCTTTCTAGAGGTCAGGTTGTTGACACTTTGGTAATATATGTATTAGTAGTTGTTGTAATGGTCTGTCCTCTGTGAAATGAGCCCAGAATTGTGTAATATACCAATTAGTATAAGATTCCCCAGTAGAAGTGCTATGGGCTCATTGAAGATTCGAATCGATTCTGTACTGGGCTATTTTATTGAGGAGATTGATATCAGGATCTTTCTGATCCTCCCCTGTATCTAGGAACTGGAAATTTTTAAGCAAGACTGCCTTGTGTTTTAGAGTTGTTCTGGTGAAAGATCAGCCCTTCTTCTGAAGGGGTTTCTCTTATAGAGAAGGTAGGAAAGTGAACATTACCTTTTGAAACTAAGGAAAATAAGGGATTGCTGAGTGTTTTTCTGCAGTCCTGTGAATTCTGATGCTTGGGAGCTTTGATATTAGAACCAAATTTATGTTAGAGTGTTTTTTTATCTCTTGCCAAATGTTTTTCCTGTTCTGGAATTCCAACAAATGTGGCAGCCCTGGGATGCCAATTTTCTGAAATAAACCTTTTCAACCCTCCCACTCTTTAGAGTTGTTGGAATCTGAGCAACATGCAATTTGAATGAAAAAGAAGACTGTAGGGAGCTCTTTGTCTCTGAAGTGCCAGGGGAGGCTTGTGCTGATGGATGAGCAGGAGCAGGGACAATGAACCTACTGCTGAGGCCCCCTCTGAAGTAAAGATACCTCCAGGTGTGGAGCAGGGCCAGGGGCCACAGACAAAAGTCTCTGGTGCATAATAGGACAGTCTTGGTGTGGCACTGGGATTCAGTGGCATGATGGTGGTGAGTTTATCTTTATTTTCCATAATTATATGCCCCCACCTCCAGTTTCTCTTGATCTTTTTGTTCCTGTCCTCGCCCTTTGGGCATCAGTTGGGTCATTATTTTTAACTTGACTGCCAGCTTCTTTTGTCCCTGTCATAGACTTTGTTAGATACTGCATCTTTGTGAGATATGCAAGATCATCTTGCTGTTCATTTGTGTGCTATTTGTGTGTCTTCTCCTAAGATCCTGAGATTGATTATGGAGCTGCTGGTGCAGGGTGGGCTGGGATGCTGGGTTACTGCTTTAGAAGGAGTGAGTTCTTTGGTGAATCCATTTTGTCTCGAAGCCCTTGGTCCCTATCTCTTTCCCACTGGGACCTACTTGGACAGTAAGCACACTCTGTTCCATAGAGGTGGACTGACTAGCACCCTGACATCCTTGTTTGGTCCTTCACATTATGCAAACAAGATCATACCCTTCAGTTCAGAGCTTCACATTGAGCTTTCAGTGACACTTAAGGCTTAACATGTGCTGCTGCTGGAGACCCACAAATCTCCACCACAGTTGTCGAGTTGTTTATTACGGTTTTAAAAACCTCAGTTGAGGACTATATAAGGTTTATATAATGATTCCAATTACATTTCTTATTTCATCTCATCTTAAGCCTGCCAACATCTGGCTGAATATAATTTTTTAAAATCCAGCATTCTCTATGGTTTTGTGCCATATGCAGGTTTGGCTTTCATACCATTGTCAGGGGAGTGGATGCTCCGGGATTCGCCTGTGTACGCTGGTTGAAGAATAACAGCCACCACATCAAACGTGAGGGCAAGCAAGTATGGATTTATTGAGGCAAGAGGAAAGAACTCCTGACAGCAGGAGGGGGCTGGAGGGAGGATACCTGTTTACTCCAGCCCTGTCTATGACTGTATACTGTCAGACTTCCTGTTGTCCAATGTGCCAGACTATTGATTAGGCACTGGGTGGTTGGGAAGTTTCATGGTGGTTATTTTTCTGTTCCCTAATTATTCTGTAGTGGGATCTTACTCTAGGTGATGGCTAGCTTAGCAACATTTTAGTAAAACTCTTCTGTTTTCTGGGAGCTGTTTCATTCCTTCTGTTCCTATATTGTTTAAAATCACTGTCCCCAGTCTCAGCCTTTCCTGTTCCCCAAATTCTCCTGGTCTCAGTTCCTCTCACCATTATTGGCTTTATCTATTTGATTAATGAGAATCTTTAACAGAGTCAAGTGAAAGAGCCCTCCATCTGGGTTGAAATAGATAATTGAGACTTTGACCTGAAGAATAGTAGTGTCCCTAATTTTAAAAAGTCAAACTTAAGATTTACTTACGAATATGTTTTGAAGTGTTTGATCACTTGCTGATGGTGAAGAAAGCCCCAGCAGATGAGGGTCTAGTATTTAAGAAGTAAGATGGAGTAAGACATCTCAGTTTGGGTGTTATTTGCACGCATGCTGCACAGCAATGGAGCCTCATTCAAGGCCATTGTGTCTAGTGATTAGGAAGTTTCATCTTCACTTGTTGGGGTTAGGGAGTCAAGTGGTCAGTGAAACAGGTAGATAATTATTTATATATGTGTGTATATGTACACACACACATATGAGGGGGGAGAGAGGAAAGGGAAGGAGATAGAGAGGGAGAGGAGATAATATATGTCAGGAAGCACAGTTGCACATGTCCACGTTCTTGACAAGAGAACAATATCCTCAGAGCAGTACAGAGAGAGGTAGTGTCTTATAAATTAAGTTTGAAATTGATCAATTGCCTGCTTGAATCATAGGGGATAGCTGGATTGTAGTTAAAATCTTATGTTCAAATGGTGTTTTAGTCCATTTGTGATCCTGTAGCAAAATACCACTTACAGGTTAGCTTGTAAACTGCAAAAAAATTATTTCTTACTGTTCTGGGGCCTCAGAAGTCACAGATGAAGGTACCAGCATGGTTGACTTCTGGTGAGGCTGCTTCCTGCTTCATAGCTAACAAGGAATCTCCATGGGGTCTCTTTTATAAGAGTATTAATCCTACTCATGAGGATTCTGACCTCCTGATCTGATCACCACAAAGGCCCCTATCTCCTAATACCATCACCATGGGGGTTAGGATTTCAACATGTAAATTTTGAGGGGACAGGAGAACATTCAGGCCATAGCAGATGGTGACCTGCCCATATGTTATAGAACCCCAACTCTTTGTGTATTGGCTAGGAGTCTTTGAGTAAATAAATTAAGCTCTCATTGTTATACTTGTAAAAAGAGAAATTTATACTTATAAAAAGAGTTGTTATACTTGTAAAAAGAGAAATTTCTTAGTGTTGAGGGAGGCATCTGGGGACCCCCACCCCACATTAAATTTAATTCACAGGCTGTGGACACTGTCAGCTGTTTCTCAGCAAGGTCCCTGTCAAAATGAAACTGCACATTTGCAAAGCAGGAGGTCTTCAAATACCCTTTTGCTTAAATGTGTGCTTGCTTACCTTCTTGGTATATCCATGCCTAGATTAAGAAGAAACTTGGTCATTAGTAACTGAAACAAGGGAAAGGAAGATTGTGACTACTGTCATCCTTGGTTTTTTCCCTGAGTAAAGCAATAAAGAGGTTCAAACTACCCTGCTCTCTCCTTTGCATGCTGTTTGGATGGTTGAGCAGAAGACAGCAGCAACATAGCAACATCTTGCCTTTAACTTGGGAGTAAAAATGAGCCAAACCTTTTAACTCTTTAGTTGACCTGAGTCACTTGGTGTTTTGTGATTTGTGGCAAAGTTGTCAAAAGAGTCAAAATATGGCTTTATGGAGAGAGTGGAGACACAGCCTAAGCTCTTGGGTTGAGGGAGAATGGGGGTATGTATGTGTGGAGTCTTGAGATTTCCTCATTCCTCATTCCTTTAGTTGTGTGGAGAAGAAACCAGAGGAGTGGAAAGGGTGTAGAAGCTCCCATAGCAAAATACCACTTACAGGTATACCCTAGGGCAGTGGGGCAGGTTCCTACAGTCTAAGGGCTCTCTGTGGGATCACTTCCTTAAGAAAAAACCTCTAAGATGTTGCTCTGTTAAGATAAAGTTCCAAGCAATTTGGCATGCATTAAAGTCTTTTCCAGAATTCTGCTTTCATTTGTTCTTTTTTTCCCTATTTCTTGACACTTTCCTCCTGATCACTTTTTCTAGCTCAGAGATTGTCAAAGTTTTGTTTATATTGCTGTAACAACACTGTTGTGCTCCTAAGATAGAATTTTGCAGTGAATCACTGTAGCCCCTGTAATCTGTGAGCAGCTGCTCCTGGTTGCTTAATTTCCTTGTGGATGAACAGCTTCACCCTTAAAAAAGTGAACCAAGGAATATGTATTCTACCTGTCAAATCCTGCCATTGCAAAATTTCCCTTCTTCCCTGTCCAGCAGAATGAAATTGACACCCCATCTTCCGTAGAAATGTAATGAAGGTCAGTGAGAAATTGTTGCTTTAACAACACCTTTGTACTCCTAAGATAGAATTTTGCTTTAAATCACTAAACTTGTTTGCTTTAAAAAAAGCAACCAGGACCTGAAATTGCAAAACCTCATAACCCTTATCCTAGAAGCATGATGCCAACAAGAAAACCAGATGGCCCAATAGTTAAGATACCATCAAAATAGAACTTGCTAACTCACATCCCACAGGCCCCTCCTCCCTCACCACTCCCCCCGCCTTGCTGCTGACCCCTTAAAACCCTCTTGGTCAGCCTGAGAAGAGGAGATGGTCTTTGCATGCCTTCCCCTCAGGGACCTGATTCTTGAAAAAACCTGATCTCTTCCCACCAACCTTTGTCTCTAGTGTATAAATAATGGTTTTCCAGCAACGAGCAACTGGATGTTGGCTCTGGTAACATTTGTATACTATCTTATGGAATTTCCAAAAGCTTTATACCCCTTCACATAGTTTTTTGTTGAAATACAATCTTTTTTAATGATAGATTTTAAATGATCAATGAGTTTGATCCAGAAAGATCAGTGGATTTGATTTCTCTAGTATTGTGAAAATTGATTATTGAAAATCAAATTATGGCATCAGTCTTTATTCTGTGCACTCTAATACCATTAGCAATTTGATGCCAACTTTTATTCTTTTATTTTTTAAGTGTCTTTTTAAAGATTTATTTATGCATACACGAACTGGGGTACAGGCCAGAGGCATAGGGGGGTGAGAGGATTCACCAAAGAAAGAGTGGGGAACAGAACAGGCAGATTGACTGAAACACACTGCTGAGGGGAGCAGCGGGTGAGTCAGGAGAGGTCTGCTGCACCATGTGGGTAGCTCCCTGGCCAGGGATCAAACTCGTGCTGCAGAGGCTGCAGATAACTTCATAGGTTGCTTATTAACCCCTTGCGCCACCAGGGAGGCCCCCATTTATTATTCCTTTAAACTATGCAAATAAACTCATCCCTAACATTTGGGACCTTAACAGTGTTGGGATTTGGTGAGTGAGATTCTTTGGTTCCCTCTGAGAAGGAGTCTGGGAGAGATTCTTGTTCAGCATCACATGGTGAGTTTATTAAGGCATGGCAAATTTATCAAGGCAATAGGTGTTTGTACAGCCACAAACAGGCAAAAGTTGCATTTTGAAAGGGCAGGTTTATTAGGAAGAGACACCTGTGTAGACACAGGGAGGCAGTTTTAGGACAAAAATCTGTTTTCTCAGAGCAAGGGGTTCTTTGGGGAGATTCATTCCATTGTGGAATTTAATCACTTTGGGGTTGGATTGTTTTTCTTTGATGACAGATAATCCATTCGGACACCACCTCTGATTCCTGGAAACGTCTATAGCTGGTTTAGCCATCCTTACCCCTACCTTTGGTTTTTGATCTTGTGAAAATTTCTATCCTAAATTTTCTACTCTAAGTTTCCATCAACAGCACCCTCTTTTCTCTTTGAATTTCTACTTCCTGCATGGAAATTTATTCTAATGATACATACATACATACATACATATATATATATCTGCTTTAATCTGTTTCTGATCTCTTGCCAC